GTGCAGCCTCTTTAGCCGCCCTTTTTTGTCTCGTTTTTGTACCGCCGCCTGCTGACAGGATATACGAAAGGAAATTTTGAAGAAAAACCCCTGGATATGGTTGTTAATTAATGCACCAATGGCCACCAATAATGCCTCGGAATTTTGTCCTCCGACTTGGCCGAGTGACGCGGCAGATTTTCCTCCGCTTTTTGCATGCAGCCGTAAAAAGTTCTACATGATAGTGTCTGCCTTGCCAACCAGGGTCGTAAAATTGAGCGAGTGCCATAAATATTTAATTCGTGTTTGCGCACACATTTAATTTGTATTTATCAAACCCAGCCAAGGATGATTTCTTGGGCGCAATTACGTCATTGGTTTAAAAATTTACCACATTTGTTTCCACTTAAAATTTTTAATACATAAATAAAATGGTTTGGAGAGTTTTCTTCAATTCGAGATCAAAGATTTTCAAGTCCATATGCAAGAGAGGAGGTTATATAGATTTCAATGAAGAAGTGAACCGACGTATTGAAAAATTGTCGCAATTTCAATAAAGAGCCAAGAGAGCTAGCGGCGATAAAAGCTCGGCGAGCAGTCTCATAAAGCAGCCTTAATCGTACTTTTATGGCTGATTATGACTGCATCTTGAATGCATAAAACTACGTGGGAGTTGAGAAATGTGCACCTTACATTCCAAGAAATTCTTTTCGTCGGGACATAATAAATTTAGATTGAACTCGGTGATTGAATTCTTCAGCTTTATTAAGCTTTATGTAGCAAAATGCAAAAATTTAAACAAATTAAATAACATACATAATTTCTAGCAAAGTAAACTTTAAATATACAAAAAATATTTAAAAAATTAAATTGTTTTACCGAGTTTTATTTGAAAACCCATTTCCTACATCTTTGCGATCTGTTTGCTATTAGGTTTGATTTAAGTGTGTTTGCAGCTCGTAAATTTTTTGCACGCTCAAAAGTTTTGCTCTGAAAACAAATCCTGCTGATGGCGGACGATCTGAAAGAACACGAAGCGCGGTTCGAGATGATGAAAAGTGTATGCGAGTGTTTCTTGTCATTCGCAAAGCAGCCGCGGCCAGATTATGACAGGGAAATATCTGAGCAACGCCTGGCCCATAAATTGAGCGCTATGACACACCTGCTGCGCTCCACTCAGCCCATCATTTAGGCGCCGCTCAACTAATATGACTCGCGGGCAGGCAACCCCTCGGCACGCTCTCGTTCCAGTGATTTTTTTACCAACCGACTCTGCAGCGTGTGCCAATCAAAGAGGCGGCTAATTCAATCTGCTTCGTACCCTCGTTTGGCTCACGATTTGGCCCAAGATTAATTCTCAACTTCCGCACCTTTTCATTTAAAATCTTATTTAAAAAAAATTATAGTTAAAAATGTGAAAAACTTTTTGAAATATTCCTTACGCTTGAGTTTTTAAATTTTTTCTTAGATCAAACATGGAATTTTTTCTCTCCAATCCGATGATAGTGACTTTATATCCTCTCTTCAGATTCTATATACTTCCAAAAGCCTTTTTTCGTTTTTATTTTTGCCCATAAAAACACTGGCTCGCTGGCCATATCTAATATCTCATTTTTCAAAGCCCTGCTCTCATCATCGTGCAGCATCTCTTCTTGCGCGTGCAATAAAACCCCGCGCCGACAAACTTGTCTTCGGACCAGAAAAAGAGAGCCCTCCGCTTGCTCCCTTGCCCCTCTGCAGAGCGTTTTGCTCTGGCTGCTGCAATATCACATTTTTATTTGCTGATGCCCGAAGCAGTGGGCATTTATTTTTATATTTCTTACAGCCATGTGTTTTCAATTTGAGCACTTCTTCCTCCTTTGGAATTATTTATTTAAAAGAATATCAAAATGCGCCGTTTTTACTCTGACCGATAAACAATTATTTTAATAAAAATATAATTATTACTTGAAAAATTATAATTTTTAATCAAAAATTATGAGAGTAAAATCTCATTTAATTTTAATGCATTGTTCTTTTTACACCTCTTCCGTTTGTAAAAAAAAAAACATTGCAAATAAAATTGATCGTTACTTAAAAGAGTTATAAATACGCCCTTAATTAGATAAGTGAAAATGAAATAGAATTTGAAAAAAAATACTAAAGAAGAAGAATAATAAAGTGATTATAATATAAAATTTAATCAATCTACAAATTGGTGTCATCATAACAATTTATGATAAACGATCTATCTATGCACATTCGACAGCTGGCGACCAGCGAGCGCGGCGGCACCCCCGCGAAGTTTCTCTCTCTCTCCCCCATAAGAAAACGCGGCCGATTATGAGAGGCACGTGACCCGCGTCACCGTCTGATGATGATCTGAGACAGATTATGACGAGCGGTTAATTTGTAACGTCACACGCCTTTTAATCATCCTCGCCGCCGCAATATGAGAAAAATATGACAGCGCAACCCTTTCTTTCATACACCAATTTTTTTTTTTGAGCCGCGGCCAAGAAAAATAATTTCTCGTAAACGAAACACGGCGTGTCATAACTCTCGGCAGCAATCATAACTGCGAGTTATGATGAATGCCGGCCAATTAACGTGACACTTACAGCACGCTGAATTTGCTCAGCCGACCGATCCGAGGCAATTTGTCATAACAGTTTTGACTTTTGAGAGAAGCAAGAAGTGGCAAAGCAGACCGCGGCTGGTGCTGATTTTTAGGAGGAATGGCCCAATATTTTAACGTGTATCTTTCCTCTTTCTGGAGTTTGTTTTTACATGCGAGGCCGAGGAAATATTTTTTGAGGAGCAGAAATTATGCGAGGAAAGTTTCAAATTTTAATTAAATCTATTATAGTAAAAGAAGCATTTTTAATTTTTATTCAACCACCAATACGTGTGCTGTAGTGTTTTCTCAATGGCTAATTTAGATTCTTAATGAGTTTTTTTTTTAAGTAACAAATATTTTGATTGAGATTTTATAAAGTATCTCCACAAACCAAAATTTGAAAATTTGGGTTCAAATATCTTCATTACATAGTGCGAAAAAATAATTTTTAAATATATCTTTGTTGTGTTTGTTTATCTCAACAGGAAATCGCTTATATTTGTTTTAAACCAACGCAGTATTAAAATTTAAGATAAATATTGCACTATCGCAGAAATATAAATAACAAATTTTTGTTATTGAAACAAAAATTAATTTTGATAATAGCTTTAGTTCCTTGCAATTAATCTTAACCTCTTTTTACATAGATAAGCTTCCGATAGTCAGAAATAAAAATGATATGCATATAGGAAATATTTTCTTATTTTTATAAAACTATGAAAACTAAAATTCCAAAAAAAATTTCCTTATTTATTTAAGTTTTTTGTCAATGCAGTTTAAAAGATGCTTAGAAATCCTTATAATAGTTATAAGACTGCGCTCAACTTCCACAAACTTCCCCCAGCCTGCATCAGTGCCCCTGGCGCGTTATAATGAGAGAAATTATATTCAAGATGAAAGGAGCGCAGGGAAATTTAAGGCGGCAGGCGAGGCCAAAGGGAAAATAAACCAATGGAAAATGATGAGGTTAGACCGCGAGTTTTACCAGCAGCTCGCGGTGTTGGCGGCGGCAAACTTCTTTCGCCAAACGCAAACCTCAAAATGCCACAAAAATTGGACCCGCCACTAAAGTGCAGGAAAATTCCCACTGGAAAAACGACTCTGCGCTTTCAAAATGAAAACTTTTTTAAATTTACCTTGGCACAAATAATTTTATCACTTTTTTCAGAAATGCGAGTACTTGCATGTAATTAAAAAAATTTCAACTGAATTTACCTGAGTCAAAGTATTTTATTTAATTATCACATCGTTGTTATGCGGTTGAGGAAAATGCATAGTAAGGCTTGAAATTTTGCAAATTAATTCAAGTCTGCTTATGATAACACTCTTAAATGAAGGATTTTTTTTCCAGGAATATGCTTGCAGCAAAAACTCCAAGTACTGCACTTCATAAATTCGCGCATAAATATTTTAATATATTCTCGCTTCGGCTCTCACCGCCTCGTTTTCAAATGGAGAGTGGCTCTCTAGCGATGAATTTTAATCAGAGTCGACGCGTCCAATTATGATGTTGAATGACTTTTACTATTTATCTCATTTTCCTTTTCTCCAACGCAGAGCTTGTGCTGCGTGAGTTGGAGTATTTTTAGAATCACACATGCCTTCGGATGCGTCACGCACAAAGAGGCAACTTTTTGTTCTCTCGCCAGCAAAGGGCTCTAAAATCAAAGCTGCTGAAATTCGACTTTAAAAGGGCGACGAGGTGTGTATGCTTTGCTTATAGCGTGCGAACGATTCACGCGGCGGCGGAATAAAAAAAAAGAGAACAGATAAGTGGGAAACAGCAACAGAGAAAGAGAGAGGAGAGCAACCGGCACTACACCGGCCAAGTGTTGAGGGTTGCATCTCACGAAAAGTATATAAATAAAATATTGATAGGAGGAAAACGTAAGTTTTTTAATTTACGTGCAAACAGTAAATTACATTTACATTCCAAATATTATAATCATTCAAGGGATCAGTGATTTAGTGTATTAAATGGAATAAAAAAAAATTAAGATTTTGAGTAAATTTTGCTTATAACATTTCTTTTTAAGAGAAATATTTATTTCTCTTTATATTTCAGAGGAATTTTTCAATGCATGGAATCATAAGAATTTGGAAAACTGGAGACATAGAGTGCCGGAATTGGCCCGGTGCGAACAGGGCTTTGCCGTGCGCTGGCGCTCTCCTCGCTTGCCGGTGAACGCCGAGCGCTTTTTTCGCACTCCTGCCGCTCTCAATAACCTGTTTCCTACCAACAAAATTTTTGAAAAAATATCTCAGAGATATTTTCCTTTTAAATTCTTATTTACAGAAAGTTATTGAAATTTGCAAAAATCTCGGCTTATATTTTTAAGTTCAATTAAGTTTTGATGCACCCTTAATTTGCTAAATTACTAAATTTTGATATCAAGTATAAATTATAAAAAAAAAAACTTACCGGCTGGTTCTGCGAGGCCGGTCTGCAGGGCATCTTCCGGTTCGAGCACCCTGATGGGTCTTGCCTGCTTCCTGCGCGACATGATGATTTTGCAGGTCGGTCCGAAAATCAAAGTCTAATAATTTGGAAAGAGTCCTGCACAGCACGAGCCGCGTGCGATCAGAAGCACATGTTGGGTGACACTGATTGCGAAAAAGGTTCCAAAAACTTGCAAGTCTCTCGGAGCAGCGATATACGGTGTGATGTGTGTCCCGCGGCGGAGTGCTGACTACATCCTCATCTTTCCGTTTCTTCTTATTCTTGCAGGCTGCAAATTTTTTTGACCACCAATACAGTTTCTCAGTTGCACTGCGCAAGTCTTCTTGCTGTATGATAACCGCTCATATAATATATATTGTTGCTGGCAGCAGTGTCTGTGTGTGTGTGTGTATTGTGTGTTCCACCTCAACCTCGAAGGCACCCCCTCGCGCACTGCACTGGCAACGCACGGGCTCTCTTCTCGGACACACACGGACGGCACAGACACACACCACTGCTCCGGCCGCTGCTGCCGCTGGCTATGATTATCAATATTGGTGACTGCTTATGATAATCTTATTCTCGGCGAGTCAAACACGGGGCCAGCCAGCCAGGAGAGGGGAGAGCCCGCCGAGGCCGCTTCTCATTGGTGCTCGCCGGCACATAAATATGGATATGATACAAGTGCGCACACACAATCTCTGGACCTGCCCACTAGACGCGACTGCCCTCTACCGGCTCGTCCACTCGCCGCCCCGACAACCCCGACCGACGTCAGGGGTGCGCTGGTTGAACCCGGCCGCCGTCTCCGTCGGACACCCGTCCGATGTGAGAGAAAAAATTGTCCGGTTTTTCACTCGAGTACGAATAAAGTCCGAAACAATTTTTGAAGCACTAACGAAGAAATTTTCACTTTTTTATGACGTTGGAAATTTTTTGAGGAAATTTAAATTTTTCACTTTTTTCCTCGAGCACGATAGGTGAGCGAGTTGAGCCGCGATGTGGTGCGTGCGTGTGCTGCGAGGGAAATGACGAGGGAATTTGTTAAATGTGCCGAGAGGTCTCTCTTCTCTCTCTTTCGGTAGTGGGGTGGCTGCTGCAAGTGGGCTGCCGGTAGTGGCGCTCGAACGGCGCTTTCTGGCAAATACACTGTATGTGGAAAAACTGCATCCGACGTGCGAGACTTGCAGGCACCCACACCAGAGCACCTGCGACCTGTCTCGCGTTTTGGTCTTTGCCCCGAACGACGCCGCGGCTGCACCCGCAAGAAGTCAAATTTTCCTTCCCACTGCGCCGCAAATCGCTTGAGCAGAAATAAGATGGAAATTTGATTAGATTCCTTTCGTCAGCTTTGTCATGCAGGAAGGACCAGTCACTCAGCTGACAAGTTGAGCGAGTTGAGCGCACTCAACTTAAACTATAAGATTAATTAACGGGCGTTGAGTTCATATATGTCTGCAGACAAGAGCCGCAATAAAAGAAAATCTTATAAATATTTTAGCTGCAACTTAAAATGTACGTTTCCCTATATGGCATCAGTAAAAAGTGAAATAGAAACAAAAAGAATAGTAGTAGCTTAAAGCAGGCAAAAATTAAGCTTCTGATGGAAACCAAATAAAAAAAACTTCTTTTTTCTTTTTTTCGTTTTATGATAACTCTTCAAAAATTTTGTATTCTACATTGTGTATGCAGTGCTATTATATTGTTATAAAAAGTCTGAAATAATTTCACTCATGTTAATTCCAAAAGGAAATAGTTGATAATTGCCTGCACTATAATTTATGCAGTTGCTGGCAAATCTCTATTTTATCTTCTTGGTTACAATTAAATGCTGAGAAATTAAATATACATGAATGCCATTTCCGGATTATCAATGGAGGCGTTATTGACTTCAACTTTTGCCGGATGTGATTCATTTCTTTAATCAAAGTTATGATATAAGAAAAATTGATTGTGCATTAATAGTAAATGGCAAAAGAGAGAACCCAATTTTAAACAAATTATTTGTAATTCAACATTTTGATGCCTCGATCGACAGAAAAATTGATTATGTATTCTATTTATAATTCATAAAATCAGTCCGCGGGAGACTTTCTGATTGAAATGAATTAACGTCCAGCTGTTAAAATATGCGCCAATCTCACATTGTGTGGGAGTGGAAATATTGAAATATGACTACGCTGAATGATGAGGCAGAGAGTGTGTTAAAGCGGCTTATTGTAATCCGTGTCAATTTGCCGTCTGCTTCATCGCGTGCGCTTTTATTGCGGATTGATGGCTTGGCAAGCGGGTTGCAGGAGAACTAGGGGGCCAAGGATTTTTATTGGGATAAATTTGAATGCTTACTTGAATTTTTTTCGCAATTTTACACTATAAATGCGGAAGGAATTTATTTTTGTTGTCATATTATGTGAAAAGTATCATTGAAATAGACGGAAATAGACTGCATAAACTCTCGTTACTCCACATGAATATTATGTATTATAATTTGTTTAATAAAACATTATCACATAAAGCATTATATATAAATATATTATGATTTGTTTTAGCATATTTTAAATCAAATTAAATGATAAAAATTTAATATTTTACATAAGATAAAGTTAATAATATCAATAAAAATAAATAAAATAAAAAATTATTAAAATAATAAGTTGTAAAGTTTTTTATTAATCTTTTGGTATAAATGTTTAGAGTGCATTAAAATTTTTTAACTTGTGGCAATAAGGATGAGGGCATACCTTCTTTACACCCCTGGCAACTTTGTCTCCCCCACTCGCTGCCGGCACATGTGGGCCGATAATGGAATATTTCCACCCTCGATCCGCGACAACGGGTGCTTCGGCTCCCCGCTGCTCTGCTTGTTTTATATGATTTAACCCCGCAACCTTTCTTTTGTGCTGCTCAGCGGTGCAGTCTGTAAATAGTAAATGTGCACAGCCAGGGCACCCCTCGGCGCAGCATCTCTCATTTTAATTGCGGAACATTTTGTCAATTTATGCCTGAAATTTTATTACCCGGCGTGTGTGTATATTTTATGAGCAGCGCAGTTTGGAGAGAGAGATAGAAATTAAACTGAGAGAGAGGGTTGACAATGTGATGGCAGAGCGAGGGCGGAGAATGAAAGAGATGCGAAATTGCCGAGGCAGTTTGTGTGTTTATTGGAGCGCCAGCCAGTGCGACGACGAGGAGCAGCGGACTCTTTTATTATTGATAAAATGTAAATAAGCGCGCGACACAGCCATATATATATACTCGTCTGGTGCCGAGTTGCAGCTCAAGAGTGCTTTTTAATTAGTTTTCATTTTTGCACCACGCCAAGCAGCGCAATCTTCGAATTTCGTTAAAAGAAAGAAGAGAAAAGGATGTTGGGAGGAGAATATACCATTTTAATTTCTTGACAGGTTGCGCCTCATTAATATGCATGTGGCGGAGGATTTAATTAGCTGACTCTGAACGCGATCTGCGTCTCATGATGCGGCTATTTTATATCATTTTTTAAAGAGAGAGGTTTTTTTATTTAGAAATATAAATATAAATAATTTATTAAAAAGTACTTCAAATTCATTCAAAATTGGATTTTACCTATTGTAGAGAAACCTATAGTTTGCAAATGATTTATATAGAAAAGGATTTAGTGAAATATAAGTCGTATGATTATATAGCATCAATGTTGCCTACTCTGCTAAAATAATTGTAAATACCTTTGGAAAATTATCGTGATAAGTGATTCAATTCTTACAATTCTCTCAACATTTCATAAGTAAATGGAAAATCAACATCCTAATACGCAAGCCACAGAAGTCAATTTTGTTGATGTTTTTAAATACAGGTAAATGATGAGAAAATTTATGAAATAAATTTAATATATTAATAAACAGGTGCAAATATAAATGAATGACTTTTTAAAATAATCTTCATAAACAATAAAATCAACATTAATATTTAATTAAAAATATTTAATTTAAATTATCAGTGTATTGATTCTAAAAGAAAAAGGCAATAAAAATTGCATAACTTAATTAAAAGCAACTATAGAAATTAAAATAGTGAGTGTTTTATTTATAATTAAATTAATTTTACACCAATTTATTTGTGGTTGATGTTGATGCCATCAACTGCCGGCTGGCTTGTTCAGTCTATAGAAATAACTTTCCTGCTGTTCAGAGAAAAATACACAATATATGATCAAAGAGAAGAAACTCTTATTGGCCAATCAATTGATGCCCAGCCTGACACTGTGTAAAAATGCATAATCAATTTATTGCCGACGCGAGATTTACTGCGCGCCGACACGTCGGAGAACGCGAGCGGCGTTTCCTTTTTATGCCGCAATTCCACCACAAATGCAACCAAAACACTTTAAACTACACTCAATTGACATACAAAGTTACTTGAGAATCTCGCCGGTGAAAAAGAAAATCGATCGGATTTATGGAATATAAATCATTGTGTTCAACAGCTTTTGAGGTCGTTAGGCGAATTCCTGGAAATTTCATGCTCTGAATTGGTTATTGCGCACCGGGCCTAATTATTCCTGATGTACGCTACTTTTGTGTCAGCTGCCGTATGCAAGATTGGAATTTCAAGCCAATCGCGAAGAGACGTGAATTGATTGAAAACAAAATGTGGAATAATCTGCGCAGATTGAATTATTCTTTTTAGCGTCGGATAAAATTAAAAAGGTTGAATATTTTGGATGACATCATCACGCGCGCAAGAACTGCGATTGCTGTTATATAGTCTCGGACTGAGAAGTAAATTTATCTAATTAAAAATATCAAGGCCAAGCGTTTTGTTAATTTATTTGGGGTGAGGCCATAAATAGTTGTTGTCATTCAGCCTGGCGGAGAGCGCGTATCTCTGTACAATCGCATTATTTGTGGCGTTTATTTTTTAATATAAAGGCACTATTAACAGCGGCCGAACAACTCTTTCGCCATTTTCCATCTCGCGCTGTTTAATTACATGCCCAGCCGAGAGAAAAGGGCAGAAACTTTTTTAGCTTTTGGGCTTGTCCTCGCCAGCTTTGTTATTATGGAAATTTTTCACTAAGAGCTTCGTTATTTTAATCAGCAGAACAAAAAGAAGAATAAAAAATCAGCACGTCAATCGCACTGAATTTGCATTGGAGTAAAACATGCCAGGGATTCGGTAATAAATATGGCTGAACAAGTTAATTTTGTGTTAACGTAGTTCAAAATTGACCCCCGTCAAGCAGGTCTTCATGGCTAAGCAGCAGGTAAAAATTTCTTTCTACCCCCTTGTTGAAATTTTAGAAAGCTGTCCAAAGTAAAGAATGAGAAAGAACTCTTTGCTGGGACTATTGTTGGGCACAAAGAAAAGTTCCAAGGCCAATATTGTTAGATACTTTTGTGATTTACACGGAATGCGGGTATAATAGGTCAGTATAATGTATCTTAAAAAGTGGCAGAAAATATCGTCCCCAAGTAAAAAGTAAAAAACTGACATTTTTTGGATATATTTTTCGATTTTTTCCTTTTTGATTGAAAAAAAAAACTAATTTGATTCCATAATTCTATTAAACTAATTTATCATTTTTAAACTTTCAACATTTCTTTTATCAACGAAAAAGTGACTGGCTTTGGAATATTTTTAATTTAATATTATGAGTGATTGATGGAAAGGGATAACTATAAGAGGTACACAGAGCAATATAAATGATATATTTGAGTTGAGCCGCTTGCCGTTGAAATAAACGAAATATAAATATAATTAAACAAAATTAGCAAAACAGGGCTCCAGCCATCATTGTGCAACAGGAGGTAAGCACAGCTATTCCCTGGAATAATATTAGGGGAGATCTTTTTAAAAGGAGGGAGATGCGAGATTTCTAAAGGAGGCATTGTGTATGTACAGCCGCAGGGCACGGGTAGAGAATGCACACGGCCGAAAGTGGGTATGATTTGTCCAAGTTGGTATCAGGAACTCATCCTTAGGCAGGAGTAATATTCTTTCAATATTTTTCATTCCTCTATCTTCAGTTAAGCAG